TGTCAATAAGGTATCGTTAAGCTCTTCCCAAAGAACTTTATTAAATTCCAAAATGCTACATACAGGCAACATACCCTCAGCTAAGAACAGGAGGAAGAAATAACCAAGAACATTATCAAAACAGTGGCAAAGGCCCTCTCTATTTGTCCTGCCAGCCTTAGAACATTCGAGTTCACTCTGCAGCAGTGGCACGGTTCGCTTTTACTTAAAACTTATCTTCGACGTTCAAATGATTGCACAGCAACATCACCTTCTCAGGGGAAAAGAAGTAGTAGTCCTCACCAGCATTATTTGAGCCAGTCTTAAAACCATCTTGTTCTTTCAATGGGGCGCTGGGGAGAAAACCGCAAACCTGCCCCAAGCCTCTCCGTCATTCCCCAGGCTGGAACGGCGCCCTGGGAGCTGGATCGGCACCTTCCTGGAGCTGCAGGACGCCTGGCAGCACCCAGACCCTAGCCAGGTGCAGGCACAGGGTCAAGGGCTTCCAATCCTGAACTCAGGAGCTCAACCTGCTCAACCCCCTCCCTGGAACGGGGGCCTATTAACCAGGACAAGAAGCTGTTCTGTTTATCTAGTTGTCTGCAGCTAAGAGGAAGGATAAAAACCTACAGACCCGCACCTCAGTATCAGAACTGTAACTGAGATAAGTTACTGTTAAGTGGATAAATTAAAATGAAACCAAAACCGGGCCAAGTCAGGAGCAGTGCACCTCACCCGAACTGCTCGCGCTGTTCCTTCCCAAGTGCTCCAGCCGGATGGCATCTTGTAACCTGGAGTCCAGAACGCGGAGCAAGGCGGGAGTCCCCCCTCCCAGCCCGTGGGAACTGCTGGGAACACATACGCCCGTATGTCACTTGGAAGTCTGCTAATATGTTGTAAGCAGCACAAGACGTTTGGCCTGGCTTCCCCGGCCAATAAACAATGCCATTCCAACTCCTACAGCAGTCAACACAAGACAGTCCCTAGCCTCCACCATCCGACGATTCAACAAACATTTGTTCCTGTTCAACCACCGTCAGCCTGGCTGCATCTGCACCCGCTCCGACAAGGCGGCGAGCGCGGTGGCGGCGGCGGCGGCAGCGGCACCAATGAGGGCCCTGCCCCCGGTCCTGGCCCGGAGTGCAGCCCGGGGCCACTTGCCCGACACCGAGTCCGGAGACCATAACGTATGGAGGACTCCGAGTGTGGCCTATAGGAGGCAGAATCCCGTTCATCAAACGCGGCAAAGAGCTGTTCTTTGTTCACCATCGTTCGAAGTGTACAGTACGTGTTAATGAAACCGGGCGGTCAGACGGAGGGAGCCCGGCTTCAGGGGGCGTCCGGGGGCGAAGGACTCGAGCAAGGCGGCTAGCACGACTCACCGGGGCTCCACAAGCATTGTTCCGCAAGCCTGCGGGCGGGGGTGGGGAGCTGGGGGGGTGCTCCAGAAGCCCTCTGGGTCAACGCAGATTCAGGGCCCTCCCCGGACTCGGGGTGTCCTCACCTCCTCCGTCCCCGCCCCACCAAGTGAAACCCAGAGAGGGGAAGCGGACTCCCACAGGTTTGCAAATCAAGGACTGGCAAAAATGTGACTCGACCGGTGTGCCGATGCCGGGCGGCCCTTTTCGCCATGTGCAAAAGCCACGCCAATGACCCCCACTCTGCAAGCCCCCTCCCAGGCCATCCCACAAACTTCGCCCCCCCCCCGCGTCTGAACACCCACCCCACCCCCCTCACCGGCAACGTGACCGCCCTGGCCGGTCCTGCAGCCGTGGAGCCCGCCGCTGCGCGCCCGAATCCCGGGGGTGGCAGACGAAAACTTCCGCGAACAAAAGAGTTGTCTGCAAACGGTGCGGGAAGTTCGGGGCGAGCGTGGCCGCCCGGGTCCTGGGGCCAGGGCGTCTTCCCCGCTGCCACGAGCCAGGGCTCAAGTTGAGACGCGGACAGGGGGACAACCCCCCGGGGCGCAGCCGGCCCCGCGCCCGCCCCGGGAAGCGCAGACTTTTCCGCAGGGGCCGGGCCGGCTCGCTCCCCTGGCTGCGCTCTGACAAGTCTCATGCCTGCACTGGCAGACAGACTCCACACCCCGAGAAGCCACCCGACCCGACGCGAAGCAAGAAGGGAAAAAAGGAAACCAACAACATAAAAATATAAATAATGAAAATAAAAACAGGCAAGCCGAGCACACACGCGAGCAAGCCTCCCCCCAGCTGGTGCTGGGGCGCACACGGCAGGGTCCTCCGCTGCGGACCGCCCCCCCCCCGGCCGCCCCCGCCACCCGAGGGTCGCTTACCGTGCGCCGCGGGACGCTCCGGCCGCGAGCCCCGCGCAGCCGCCGCCGGCGGCGCTCGCCAAGTCGTCCGGGCTGCCCGCCGCACGTCCGCCGCGCGCACGCTCCGCAGCCGGCGCCGAGCGCTTTGTACCGAGCGGCTCTCGGAGGAGGAAATCGACTTGTCACTTCCTGAACTGTTTGCAACTCGTCCCTTTAACCGCCCCGGCCTGGCCGCCCGCGCCCGCCGCCGCGCGGGGCCGCCCGACCGACCGCGGCTGCGTGTCGCTGGGGCCGGCGCTGTGCAGGCGGCGTCGCGGGCCCCGGCGCTCGCGGGCGGCGCGGCGGCGGCGTGCAGGAGCCGGGCGGCGTGCGGCGGCGGCGGCGGCGGCGGCGGCGAGAGTGCAGTGCGCGCAGCCGCCGGTGGGCGGGGAGTGGGGGCGCCGCAGCGCGCCGCCGCCGCCGGCGGGGCTAGAGGGCGTCCTGCGAGCCGAGCCGCGCGCCGCTCGCCGCGCTCGCGCCTGCCCGGGCCCGGGAAGTGGGAAGTGGCCCCGGCCCGGGCCGCGCCGCCGCTGCGGGCCCCCGCGGCCGCCCTCCCCCGGGCCCGGGGCCAGGAGCCCCGCGGGCGCGCTTCCCCGCCCCCTGCACACGAGGAGCCGGGACTGAAACCCGGGGCCGCGTGGACCTCAGACGCCCAGCTTCCGGGTTGTTGGGTTTTTGAGGTTTTAAAGCCACGATCATCTCGGCGGCACGCCGGGCGGCAGGCAGGGGAGGGGGTCGCGGTGTTCGTGTTGTCACCCTTCGGGAGAATCAAACGCTAGTTTCCTAACTCCGGGCGTGGATCGCAATAAAGGAATGTGTACTTCAGAAGCCACATCCCAAATATATGCAACTGGTGAAGGAAGGATTTGTGGTTGCTAAGCAGAGGCAGAGCATGTTTAGCTCTGTAACTTAGGATGTTGACTTAGGTTCAGGAATGTAACCCTGATAGAATAAGCGGAGCATTTTCATTGTGCGGCTCACCTGGGGGAGGGGATGGCTTTCCCTGTGAAGTGAAGCCCTCGGTTTCCCGTCACTCCTGCCTATTGGTGTATGTTGTTTTATTGACCTTGTATCCAAAAGGGGTTTTTTTTTAAAGAGGAGGTTTTTAAAAAGAACTCCCTATGCCTGTTTTGTGTTCTCCTTTGCCAAAAAAACAAAACACCTCATTACTTTACATGGATTGTGTCTGCGCCGTTTGAATGGTTCTATTCATAAATCAGGAAACTTTTTCTGTTGCTTCTAGGAACATTTAATTGGTTTTAATCCAACGTTTCAATCCCAGTATCAAACATAAATGAACAATTAACTTTTTGAGCTTGTGTGCACTTGGGAAACTATTATATTTCATGGCTACTGCTGGAATATTTCAGTTTCTCATCACACTGGACCCATTCTTTTTCAGAAAACTGTGAGCTAACATCTCCTTTCACACTCCAGCTCACTCCAGCGATTTCTGCTCCCAGATTAGGACCGACGGTGAATCAGAAGGAGGTGCCTATTCATTCAAGGAGATGACGTGGGGCAGAACCCTCGGAAAGCCAGAATGAGCTAGTACACAGAACACGAAGATATCGAGATCCTTGTCCATAAACGTTGCTTTGCAAACGGCCGATTTTGAGGGGAGAGGAAACCCAGCCTTCCCAGGTTGAACAAAGAAAGGCAGCAGGGATAATTTGGGGGTGCTGCTACATTTCCCAAATGCCATCTTACCGTTGTCACAGTGTCCCCTCAGCCTTGGAGAGCTTCAAGGGTATAGTTTAATGTACTTTTTATTACGAGGCCTAGAGTGACTCCTGCTGGCAAACATTCAGTTTATTCCCGCAATTACCAGTTCACCAGGTCAACTTAAAAAACGAAATGCAGGGGTCCCGAGCCTGGAAACAATTATTGCAACCATTATTCTTGTTGCTTTCAGGATGATTTTAGTCTCACAAAATTCTAAGGATTGTGGTTATGGCAAGCGCCTTTGCTGAAAAGCCTCCATTCCAACCTAAAGCAGCCTGTTTCTCTGGTTCCGAAAACTTTACTTTATTGAGTATACAGCACCAAAATACCTGCTTAAGGAATTGTGCTGCTAACCGATGAATACCTATTTCTCATTTACTTAATTTGAATTTCCAAAGACTAAAAATATATACATTAAGGCCTGTGTCACTTAAACTTTCCATACTATAAAGCTCTTACCACATTATGCAGTAAGTTCTATAAATATAAAACACCCTCACTTTTTAGGGCTATACTATTAATACACAGTTCTTTATTATTTAAAAAATCTTATCCAAAAGGCTTGTATTAGTTTTTGCTTAATTCAAAAGAGTAAATATAAATTCAGTTGAGCTCTGGGTTTAAGACAATATAAGCAGCAATCGGGGGGAGGGGCAGCGGGGAGCTGTCTGTCCACCTTTGTTCGATCCTGAAAGGTCGAAACCAAATCAAAACCAGACGTACAGCACAATCAGACACCTAAACACAGATTCATAGGCCAATTTAGGAATAAATCCGTAAGTAATCCAAAAATGAGCACTTGTAACTTTTCCATTATAACTGACCAGTACTAATCTGGCTAGACCGCAGAATACCCTGGGCAATACACGATGCGGGGACTACACAGTCCCACTCCCAGACCACTGCGTGAAGCCCGGGGCTGAAACCCGGCAGCGCCGGCTCTACTGGCTCCCCTCAGAGCCCAGCTGCCCGGCGGAGGGGTGCCTGTGTGCACGGCACGCACCGCGTGTCCGCTCCAGACGGCCTGGGAGGTTCACATGGTGTCATTCTCTGTAGAGAGCTCCCTCATTCCAAGTTTAAAGCTCTTAAGCAACAGGAGACAAAAAGGGTGTATTTTATTAAGAAAGGGTGTGATCAACTGTAACTTGTATCAACAAGCTAATAAAAGTTTCCACCGAAGCACATTTGTGCAGGGGAGGGTAAAGGCTGGGTTTTGACGTGCGCTAAGAAGCTTCCTAGGTATAGAGGGTGTTTTCTTTTTGTGCCTTTAGAACAAGACAAATGTGATGTTCGAGCTGAGCTTTGAAGTTTGAGCAAGGACCAGACAAGGTTGCTCAGTTCTCCCCATCAAATCTACCTGTACCGATGGTTTCAAAAGAGCTCCCCACTAAAAAATGACAAACTAGTTTGTCTCTGAGAATAACGTATTATCTTTAGACGAACAAAGTCAGTGAAACAAACACCCAGTGTGTTACACGTGGAGCCGCACAGCCGAATGCCAGTGTGTGTGTGTGTGTGTGTGTGTGTGTGTTGACTCCCTTGTTCACCTCCCAGAGCCCCCGTGCCTCTGTCACAGCCGCTGAATTAAAAGCCAGTCACTCACATTTCACATTGTCCTTTCTCCATTTGCAAAGATCTCTTTAACACAGAATCTTTTACATTTTCTTATAGTACATGATGGGAAGGCAAGTTCACCTGAAGCATTTTCAAGAAGACTGGCCACTGAACACGAGTTGGCAAAACACGGTGCTCTGGAAAATACGGGAAGTTCTGACCGTAGATGGAAGCTAAGGGTCTGTACTTACGATGGGGCAGTTTTCTCACGTGGGTCTTCTTCGTCAAAACAACAAGGTCTGCAGTTGCTCCCACACCGGCGATCAAGGTGCAGCGAACCGCCCTGCACACACAAGCGTGTACGACGCACTGAACTTTGTCCTTCCCTCTCTGTTTCCACCCCATGTGCTGAAACCTCCCCGCCGGTGAAGGGGGTGACAGCCCTGACTTGGAACCTCGTGTGTGCACGTGCACACGCGTCCCGTCTCCACGTACACGCATTCCGTGAGAGGCACTTCGGTTCCTGGAGGCACAGCTACTTTTTGATTCAAGAACTACGTAAGACAAATTTATTTTCGTTGAAGAATAACCACAGCACTAAACTGAATGACACCAATCTCACGCCTCTGACACGAAACGCGGGCTGAGAGCGGCTTGAGGGGAATGCCCACTGACATCAGCGCCTGCCAGTCTGCAGCTCTGCAGAGCTCTGAGGCCAGGCGTCCAGCGCCATTGAGGTGCGCGGCCCGCCAGCTGGGCCGGCGCTGTGCGCCACGGAGGGTGGGTTGTGAGCCTAGTAAGTCCTGAGCACAGACCCTGATTTCCAAGTTGGCAGGTGCTGAAAACACAGCCAATGTCACGCTTGCAGCTCACTGGAGGGAGGAGCTCTGGGCAAAAGAAGCTAAAAAGAACAGAGCAACAGTTAAAACTTAGTTCAGGTTGACAGTACTTTTTTTTTTTTTTGCAAAGTTAATAGTCGCTCTCGGTATTAGGTGCTACAAGAAAACATAGGCCATGAAGAAACAGACATTGAAAAGTTTGATAAATAAGCAAAAATAAATGTAATGAAGGCTTTTCACGATCAGCTTTCAAAGTTACTGGTTTACATAAAACTTATCAGACCTATTTTACTACTTCAATACCAAGATTCAAAAGCATAATTACTTCCTGGCCTTTCCCTGATCTATTCATGATCTTAGCTGAGGTAGACTCTCATTAGTATCACTACAAACACGATTACTCACACTGGCTGGCCTCAGTTACTCCACCAAAAACATAACGAAAAACAAGCTACAGCATTTTCATATTGCTATACACTGAGTTTAATCTAGAAAATATTTCGACAGCACACCTAGACGAATGTTTGTAATTATCTTCAAATGGAAATAATTTCAGTTGTTTTTTAAAGATAGTCTTTAATGGAATTCCAATTTTGTCTCTGAGATACAAGCCCAAACTGTAACTTAATTCTCCTCTTCGGTCAGCTACCTGCCAAGCAAGTCGCTGCCTCAAGAGAAATCTGCCTGTGACCCCGCCCCAGCGACGTGCTGAAGGCCACCGCGAGCCGGCCTACCGCAACGAACGCCAGGCCGGGTGAACCGCGTGTTCATCAGGCAGTGAGGACCCTGTTCAAGCAGATCCAGTTTTGATGTCACGGAGCTCAGATTCCCAATGTGAAGACTGAATCTTTCGGATGTGAACTATCAAGGAAAAAAAATCAGCCTCTGGCTCCAATGGGCAGAACCTCCCCGGGAGCAGTACGAAGAAAACATCTGCTCTGCGCACTGTACTAGCAGCCTGTGAATCTCTTAATTCTTCTTAGCACTTTGTCGACCCTCTCTATGAACCAAAAGCAAAGGCATTTGGTGATGTTTTGTTTCATTACAGCCATTGCTGTTTACGAGAGGGACCAGCCCTGCCTATTTTGCATGTGGACATCCTGGGGCTGACCTGGAACAGCAGAGGATTATCATAAACGAGGGTGTGTGCGGGGAGGGGACGCCACCCAGACCACCCTGCTGGCCTCAGGCAGGTGAAGAGACGTCTGGAAAGGACAGGGACACAAGTGAACATGCTTCTCCTCCGCACGCAACTAGAGCAAAAACTGCAACTGAACCACAGGACAAACGTCGCCCAGATGTGTCGGAAGATCGAGCTGTATGGAGGCCCAACCACCAAGGGTTTAAAGAAGCCACATTCATCCACACGGGCGCCTTTTCCACAACAGGCCACGCTACTACGACGGGGAGTCAGAGCAGCTCTGCCTAACGCACGGAAGCACAGGGAGGCTGCCAGACCGAGGAGACAAAGAAATATGGCCCCAATGAAAGAAAGAACAAAACTCCAGGAAAAGAACGAAAGGAAATGAAGATAAGCAGCCTATCAGATGCAGAATTTAAAATACTGGTTATCAGGATGCTTGAAGAAACCATGAGGTACTGGAACGGCATAAAAAGACCCAGGCAGAAATGAAGGCTGCATTAAGTGAAATAGAGAAAAATCCACAGGGAACCAACGGTGGGGGCGGGAGGGGGGATGAAGCCAAGATTCAAATCAACAATTTGAACCATAAGAAAAAAGCATTCGATCAGAACAGCAAGAGGAAAAAAGGAATTCAAAAAAATTAGAACAGAGTAAGGAGCCTCTGGGACATCCCCAAACGTGCCAACATCCGAGTCATGGGGGTGGCGGGGAGAGAAGAGGAAGAGCAAGAAAGTGAAAACTTATTTGAAAAAATAATGAAAGAAAACTTTCCTAATTCGGTGAAGGAAATAGACATACAAGTCCAGGAAGCACAGAGAGTCCCAAAGAAGTTGAACCGAAAGAGGACCACAGCAAGACACAGCATAATTAGAATGTCAAAGGTTAAAGATAAAGAGAGAACCTTAAAAGCAGCAAGAGGAAAGCTGGGAGTTACCTAGAAAGGAGCGCCCATAAGACTCGCTGATTTCTCAAAAGATACTTTGCGGGCTAGAAGGGACTGGCAGGAAGTATTCCAGGTGACGAGAAGGAAGGACCTACAACCAAGATGACTCTACCCAGCAAGGCTACCTTTTAGAATCAAAGGGCAGATGAAGTGCTTCCCAGACAAGGTAAAACTAAAAGAGTTCATCATCACCAAGACTTTATTATATGAAATGTTAAAGGGACTTACTTAAGAAAAAGAAGGTCAAAACTAGGCACATTAAAATGGCAATAAATTCACAAGTATCAACAATTGAATCTCAAAGACAAACTAAACAAACAAGCAGAACAGAAACAAAATCATAGATATGGAGATCATTTGGAGGGTAATCGGCTGGGAGGGGGAAAAGGTACGGGAATTAAGAAGTACAGTTGGCAGGTACAGGACAGACAAGGGAATGTTGAGAACAGTACAGGAAACGGAGAAGGAGAAGAACTTGCATGCCTGACGCATGGATAAGAACTCAGGGAGGCGGGGCTGGTGGACGGAATAGGGGTACCGGGCAGAAAGGGTCAAAGCGGGAAAAACTGGGACAACTGTAACAGTGAATGTATTTTAAAATATATTTTTAAGAAAATTTTTTAAAAGAATTATTGTAAATAAGATGTTGGCTCGCTATTTTAAATACTGCTTTACAGCCCCTCCTAACTTTCGCAAGGAACAAACACAAAAATCTGATCAAAGTCAGGTCAGTCAACTGTCGCTCGGATAACCCGTCGAACCCAGAGTACTGGTGCTTTCTGCTCCGTCCGAACTACCGCATCGGGTCCCACTGACCTCATCCCCGCAGAACGTTTAAAAATGGTTCAAAGGCTCAAGCTCTTTGTGTTTAGCTAGACAGAGTGACACTGGTCTGGCCAGATTCCTGCAGCCATACAAAGCACTCCAGGAACTGAGATATTATTCACTTAACGACCAATAAAATGGTTAAGTAAACAAATCTGAGAGCCCGATGTTTTCTAGACTAGCATAAACAACTGATTCACTGTACTTTATATACTGAACTGTCAGCTCCAGCATAAACTAAGGTCTACTCAGATAAACTACTTAAAGTATTACCCAACATCAAACTTTCAATTTATTTACTGATTCGCGAGAGAGGAAGAGAAACATCTACCTGCCACTCCGCCCACTCATGCATTCATTGGTTGCCTCTTTTTTCAAATTATTATCATTCATTGATTTTTAGAGAGCTAGAGGGAGGAAGGAAGGAAGAGAAAGAAACACCAATTTGATGTTCCACTGAGTTATGTGTTCATTGGCAGATTCTTGTATGTGCCCTGACCAGGGATCGAACCCACAACCTTGGTGCACTGGGATGACGCTCCAACCAACTAAGCTACCCAGCCAGGGCCCCAACATCCAACTTTAAAATGCCATTATGAATGGCACTGTTACCTCAACTCAGAGCAAGGAAAAGAAACATGGTTCACCGATCAAAGGTTTCAAATCTAGATGCAAGGTGGAAATGGAAGATGAACTCTCAGCCCACTGCTTCCTGAATGCCCAGTGAAGGGCCCAGATCCCACCCCACAACCCGCACTGACCCCGACGCCGGGGACCCGAGGGCCTGCACTCAGCTGCCTCGTCTGGGGCCCGGGAGCAACACCCCAGCATCCAGACCTGAGGGAGGAAGGGAACCACCACCTCAGCCTTTCTTCTCAACTCCCCTGCATCCACGCTGGCACTCCCCCGGCAGACCTGCACTTGTTACTGAGCAAGGACCACACGGACAATGACCTTAAACCCGAGGGGAACCTGACAGCCTGCAGAGACAGACTGTAGGAGGCGTTTTCTGCGACTCTGGCAGTACGACTTCCGGTCCTCACTTCCCAACTGAATACAAAGGTGCTTCAGCACCAGCCCTACCTAGAGACTGAGGAGGGAGCTGCGGAGTATGATTTTTCTAGAAGGCCTGAAAAGCCCAGCTATCCCAAACTTTCCCGCACGCGAACTCATCCAGCAGTCCCCTCCTCTCTTCACTCCTGGAGCACAAACGCCTCACAATGGAAACGAGTCCATTAACTCGGCGGCACTGAGGGGCGAAGTACTGAACCACTCGCTGTACCAGCTCCAGTGGGAGGAAGGGCCCTTGGAGAAAAGAATGTTTCCTTGGCATCCATGTGTGCTGGGAGTCCTGCTGGGCTGGGTCACATGCATTTTCCTCATTTAACGTGCACGGCCCTGCTCTGCAGGGTCCACACCGCCGCGTCTCCCCCCCACCGTACCAAACTGCATCAAGGAGACGCGCTGAAGGAAAGCCAACTTCAACTGGGTGTCTCCGATGCGTCAGGTACTCTGTGAGCACCTGTAACGTGCTCCCGGTGTCATCGAGGGAGTGAGCAGGTGCAGGGCAGACTGACAGCAGCCCAGAGAGGTGTGAGGCGTACGAAGGGCAGACCCGTATGCTACACTACACTACCCTACACCATACCATACTATACCTCACTATACCATACCATACCATACCATACCATCCCTAACCCTAACCATACCACACCCATACTATACCAACCCTAACCACACCATATTATACCATACCATACCATACTATATCATACTAATCCTAACCCTAACCATACCATACCATACCATCCCTAACCCTACCATACCCATACCATAGCAACCCTAACCATACCATACCACACTATACTACACCATACCATACTATATCACACCATACCATACTATATCACACTATACCATACCATACCATACCATATCACACCATACTACATATACCATACCAACCCTAACCATACCATACCATACTATATCACACTATACCATACCATACCAACCCTAACCATACCATATCACACCATACTATACCATACCAACCCTAACCATACCACACCCATACCATACCAACCCTAACCCTACCATACCAGACCATACCAACCCTAACCCTAACCATACCATACCATACTATACTA